AACATGAATTTGACACAACTCCGGGAGGCAGTGGAAGATAGGAGGACCGGGTGTACTCTGGTCCATGGGGTCACGAAGAGTCGGACACGACTAAACGACTAAACAACAACAATGCTTTTTCCGTGGCTCTCGGGAGACAAATGACCCAGAAGGTGTTATGGGTCTGTCATCTTCCTCATCTTGATCCATATGATGTTGATCCTTCCTTAGCCTCTTCCTGGGAGGAGAGGGTGGAGGAAGTGGTACAGAGTCGTGCTCACTGGATGAAGCAGAGTGAGCGGTGGAGACTGGCCTTGAATGGAGCAATTTCTATACCAGGGTAACCTCTGCTGTACCAGGTGAAGTTGGAAAGTGAGCCAGGATGGGAGACTCAGGCTGAGCGGAGGGAACTGTGAGTGCATCCTCCGAGGAATAGATTTGGATGGTAGGTTGGTCCTGTACTGGCAAATCCCTTGGTGGCGGAATATGTGAGTCAGAAGATTTTTTTTCTTCTTTTTTGGGTCAAAGTCATAGCAGGTTTGGCTGCAGGGGCTGTTTTGGTCTCAGATTTTATGGTGGGTTTGTGTTTGGATACTTGAGATGCCTTGGAAGGGGTTGGAGAAGCAACATGTGCAGCATGAGCTGGAATCTCCGCGCTGGGCAAGGGCTCCATAATCGGAGGGGGCTGGAGGGACTGTTGCCAGATAAAAGATCGCAGCCATTGTTCTCTAAGTTTAAGTGCCTGTTTCCCAAAGCTCTTACAGATCGAGCAGGAAGCGGTCTGGTGGGATTCTCCCAGGCAAAATAGGCAGGTTTTATGGCCATCTGTAGAGGCGATCTTATTAGGGCACTTAGCACACTTTTTGAATGGGGGGTGCCATAAATGGCCAGGGAAGGAAAGGGAACGAGGCTTTGGATAAAGTCTCTTGCTATTTAGACGCAAGGAAAGACAAAGATTAGTGAAAATTGTGTTCTTTTTAGGAGTTGTAGAATGATAGAAGAGCAGCAGCTCGAAGAAGAGATCTCATGCAGCGGCAGCAAAAAAGAACTGAGGTAACTCTGAGGGCAGGTGGACCTCGTGGGCTGAGGGGGCGGGGCATTCCTTAACAGCTTTAAGTTCTAGAATATTCCAGAGATGTCTGCGCAGGTGCAGGCTTAACCCATTAGTGTGCATTCACAGAGACCATGAAGAACAGCACACTTTTGCTTTCCTTTAGAAATCTTGTTCCAAAGGCTTCAGTGGATAGACAAACAATAGGAACCCCGATATTTGAGGCTACATCTTGATATTTACAAACATATAGGTGTGCATGTATGTTGTCCTCATGCAAATGTACAAACACAAATCTTTATTTGTTTGCAGTTTACATTACAATTCACATCTGCATTGTATTAAAGTCTAAGATTATTTTTAGTACCAGTAACAATTTTTTTTAAAAAGGGTAATAAAAACTAATCAGATTAAACTTTAACTCAAAGGTGTTTTACTAAAATACTCACTTTTCTGAGAGTGCCATGCATTTTTGAATATGAAGATTTCCTTTAATGTGCTGATCCCAATCCTAGGTGAAAATTTTGAGAAATGTAACAAATGAATGGAAGAAAATAAACACAATAGCTATATGTAATATATCCTATAAACAACAAACATTAGGAGACTCTGTTCATTTCTATGGAAGCTTCCACACTATTAAAAAATTTATGAGGAAATAGGATTTTGTAATTTGAAACATGGTACAGCTAGCAGAACAGATGGTTAGTTTTACAATTGGTGTGGATCTGATCCACATAAATCTGATGACCTAATTTAAACTCTGCAAGTCAATATATAGTTAGTTCATCCTTCATTTTAAAAGACCATTTCCATTAGCTTCACCATTTAGGGGGGAAAAAGTGAACAGGTACGGTAGATCAGTTTTTGTTGATGGGCAAGCAGATAACTAATTAGCCCAATACAAGCCTGGAAGACAGAAAAATATGGGGCAGGTTGGCTGATTCTCGGCTCCTCGGGTTGTTGAGATGCTACATCCTTGCTTTTTCATTTCTCTCTTTCTTTGTGCATCTGGAAGCTGGTGCTTGAAGGAAGAAGTAGTAGAATGGGGGTAAAGCTGCTAGGCTATGATAGGATAATGTGGTGGGGCCAGCCTGTGGTCAGAAGAACCAGGATGAGTGATGTTTGAGATACTATGCTGGTCAATTACCCTAATAAAGATTGAATGAATGATGTTTGAGATACTGTTAAAAGGCATAACAATAGCCATTTCTCTTGATGTGTTCTCATTTTCTGACTGTGGTTTAATTGTGTCCTTGTACAATAATCCTGCCTCATTGAAGTACAAGCCAGGAGGAAGGAGCCAGGCATGGTGGCATAAGGTGACTGTTGTTGCCAGCATCTTGGCCTTGCAGTCAGTCATGTAACAGGCAGTGGTAATTTGCTAGGCAGCAAGGCAATGAGTACCAATGTAAAAAAAAGCAGCCAGAAAGACATCACCCAGCTTGTCAATGATAGGGGTGATCTGCTCTCAGAGGAACTGTTGATAGTTCCCCATGCAAATCTAATAGTTAGCAACCTAAGAGAAAACGCACCAAAGGAGTAAACTTTATGCCCTAAGGCATGATGTTTTCTGCTCTCTTTGTCAGTGCAGTTTGCTTCTGGATTTGCCCTGAGCAACTTCAATGATGATTGAAGTTGGCAGAGGGTGTTTCAAAATGAAAGAGCAGTCCTCTTCCAATAGTTCATAAAGGTTTTCAATCTTCCTGGAAGTAGGGGTGACGGAAGAAAGAGTACAGTACACTATAACTGGTGAGCACTGTAGAGGAGTGATGGTAGGACAAGAATAGCCACCAGTGGTTGGGTTTTATAATGAAAAACAGAGTCTGTAACAATGTCTGGTGGAGCACTGACCTCAAGGTCTAAAACAACTGCAATATGACAAAGTTGGTCAGCATACGGCTGGATGTTATCTACAGTTGAGAGTGTGTTCTGTTCTCCACCAGAGCATTTGGAGAGGGAGGGGAGAGATGGTTGAGAGACGAGAAGGAAGTGGAGATTCTGTCATCCTGGCCAACCATTGGGGAAAGCATTCTCAATAAGCATTCTATATAAGGAGAGAGAGGTTCCAGTCATAGTAGCCTGCACCAAGTCAGCTTATGTAACTGTTGGGCAGTTGCTATAGACGGCGGTATCAGAAGCTGAGAATGCAAGGTCAATACTGTGGGATATGCCAGGTAGGTCAGTGAAGAGGCCTGTTAGTGTTCAGGTAAAGGGCCAGGTAAGGAGGATGAAGCATATACTGACTAAAGATAGGTGGTTGGTACCAGCTGTAGGGATCGTTGTAGGCATAAAGGTAAGTGCAATGGAGACCTGGAGAACATCAAGAGAAGGAAGAGGGTAGAGAGTTTTGATGTTGATGCCAAATGGAGCCTCAAAATGGGAGACTAGGAATAGTGGTTATGCATTGGAGAACAAGAATGAGATTGACACTGGTTCCAAGAGGTGGCTCAAAATCAAAAGGCAGTAGATGAGTGTGAGGGAAACACTCCTGTTGTCCCTGGTAGGCCATCTGCATCAGATGCTCCCCAGGGGACTTCATGGAGACCCTCTCAACAGGGTGGCCCAATGTCATAGACAGCAGGACTGAAGCCCCAGGTGGAGAAAGGAGGCAGAGGTTGATGAGCTACACCAGTTGGCAGGACCTGGCCTTAAAGGAAGAGGAGGAAAAAAAGAGGTCCACCCTCTATGGACTCAGAGAGGGAAAGGTGAGCAGAAGCTGCAGAGGAGTTCTATCTTCTGTGCCCTCGAGGAGGACTACCCACTGGATTCTTCCTTGGATGGGGAAGTGGGTCCAATTCCCCTAGACAAAAGGCAAAGGAAGTGAGGGAGGTCTGTCACTGTTCAGCCCTCTGAGATCAACTCCAGGAAAATTGAATGCCCTACCAAGCTCAGGGTACTGGCTTCATCCTGAACCAAAAAGAGCCACTGGAAGTGGAAGCGACAAAAAGAGCACCAACGACAGATCCTGAGGAGGCAGGACAAACTTGAGGACTTGAGAGTTTGCATCAGCCTGGCATGGGGGACATAGAAGAAGCCTCCCTAAAGAGTAGAAAAGCATTGTGAGTACATCAGGTATCCACTGAATGTTGCACTGTAATACATCTGTAATTTTAAATTGTGTAACACTCAAATATGAATGAAGAAGGAATCATCAGCCTGGTATTACCCATCATCTTTAAAGGGCATCAATTGGCTGAGGTCAGTGTGGAGAACTAGATTTCAGCCACAGACTGCACCACCCGAGTGACAGGTACTTGGCCCCGGTGGAGAACTGGAAGCAATGAGGGGCTTGTGAACTAGTCAGGATGGGGAGAACCAAGTGTCTGACCAACCTTTGTATCCCTTTCCCCTACCCTTATAAAGATCAGTTCAAGTATCAATAGGAGTCTGGAGTTCATGGATTCTATAATCAAAGATATCCTCCCAGCTATCCCTACCCTGGGTGGGGTAGTGGCAGTTGCAGTGAGTAACAAATAAGGTGATACGTTCAGTCACAGGAAGCCAATAGGTCCCTGGGGGTTTGAAATAGCAAATGGAAGTCTGCTGAGGACTTCCAACCCATTGGATAATAAGATGGAATCTTATTCTTTCAAGATGGAAGTATCAGTCTAGGGAAAGAGGATCAAGGCCATGATGATTCTGAGGAATTGATAATCTTGCCTGTGTAAGAAGCTGGTAGATGGCCTGTGGGGCAGTTTTGATGATAAGGGAGCTCTGGAAGATAGGACACTCTCTGCTCCTTCCTTCAGTGTCAAAGGGGGCCTTGGAAGCAGGAGAGCCGTTGCTGTCAGGTTTGGAGCTAAGGACTGACTAGTGCTGAAGCAGCTATGCGCCCTGAGGAGGTTAGTTGGAAGCTCCAAGAGGAAGAGGCAATATTGGTCCATTTGTCCTGCATGAGTTTCTTGTTCTTATGAACTGGACAGTAAGAGAAGGCACACTTGAAGAAATGGTATGCCAAAAGTTTTGGGGTAGAGAAGGAGACTCAATGTTGACAAGTGCAATATTGGAGATCAAGCCCATAATTGCTAAGCTGAAGGAGGAGGTCACAAACAGATCAAAAGCAATGGAAGTATTCGAGCCTGAGCTGTCTGGTCCGATGTCTGAAGAACTTTCTCCCATAAGGATGCTCAGGGGCAGACCTGGCAGTTGCAAAGTCCAGACGTACAGAGGTTCTGGTACTGCTGGCACTTCATGACCACACCCAATAAGAAGCACTTGGAGATACTGTTGATGTGTTGAATTTTGCTACTGCACTGGATGTGTTTCTAAAAAAGAGCCTTCAGTGTTGTGATGTGAGGAGGGGATGTAAAAGTAAACCAAGTCAAACTGGAAAGGTAGAAGTTGCCTTGCTGAGGGGAGATCCAAAAGAGTAGTAAAAGTAGGATTAAAAAATCATTACTACAGGAATCAGTGTCTCTAGAGATCTGAGTTGCGAATGAAGCACCAGAAATACGGGACTGGCTTTGGCTATTTATAACAGCAGGTGGCCAGGTAGGGCTCCTGCCAAAACACTTTTGCTTTAGCTCTCCAAGATCACTATACATGCACAGGGCAAAACCTAGATGTGTAACACACAACGACCACAACAATGAAGGTGTGTTGTTTTTGAAATGCAGCCATCATGCCAAATCATACACTAAGACTGAGCTCTTCACACAGCACTAGTGGTTTGTACTGACAGTTGTGCTAACGCAAGATGCTTTTGTCCAGTTCAAACCTGCTACTGTTGGTATACATATTAGTTCGCAATATACTGTCAAGATGATCTACAGAGGGTATTTAAGCTCATCAAAGATAAGCCACATCACTAAAATACTAGTGCTAGATGTTGGAGGGAGTCTAGAGAAACTGGCATGTACATTTATATGCGATACTTCCCATACCAATGGGAAACCTGGGGATAAATAGAAAAATTAAAATTGAATTATGATTTGTATTGTGGCTGTAGTATATCTTGAACAGGGGCAATAGTAGCCTTATGCACAAGTAATTATTTTCTCTGTCTAATGGCTTGTATGTAAAATGCTTCAGGGAAAAGAATAAGTTACCATCTCAAACTTTGCTTGTGAGTAGAAAACACTCAACAAATCAAAGACTCAATAATTATTCAGAATTACATTCATGCTTACAGTGTATAGTACCAAAATCATAATTTACATAACTCAGCATAGACCCCAGTCATACCTAACAAGTTAAAACTACAGTAATATGAAATGTTTGCATCCAAGAAATTAACTGAGTCACATTCACTGTCATGTGTAAATGTTCTTATTATGAGCTGCCGATTACCTGTACAGTTATGTACTGTGTTGTCCAAGTTACATTAAAATTCACAAATGAAAGTATTTTTAAAACATATGTTTATCTGCTCTTTTAGTTTATCTGCTCTTTTAATGCTTGGTTGTATTCCAGGGGTCTGATTGTTTTAAAGGTAAGATAAGCTTCACAAAAGATTTCCTTTAGCTATAAAGAAAGCCCTACAGTAATAATTTATTTTTCTATATTAAAGATGTTCTATGTACATACATCAGATTATTGTCTATGCACATCTACCTCGAAGTAGGAGACACTGTTTTTTCTATGGAGTATGAACAAGCCAAATCTGTTAAAGTTATAGGTATACAACTCCAGCAGTATTAGACAGGTCATATAATTTACCCAGCTCTTTTTGTGAAAAGAAAGAAACCCAGATTGTTCCTGAGAAGTTAGTCAGAGTTTCCAAGAACCAAGTAAGAACCCATAAGATAAAACAAATACCTTAAATAACTCTAATAAGGCTTTGTCATTGAAACAACTGGTACCAGAAACTCTCAGCGTTCATTTGCTAAACTATACTTCAAAGGGCAGAAGTAGGCTCACCTGTATCAAAAACTTACCTTCAGATCAAAGAGCTTCTTATTGCATAATGTACAGATGTGAGGGAAGCAAAGAGGTGCTAAGCTATGAAAATCATTTAGCTCATGAGACTGAAGAGGTCTCACTGACAAATCTGGTATAATTGGTTCCTGCTTCTGTTTCATTTGAGAGTTACTGAAATTTTGCTTACTGCTTTTGGCTCTGCTGAAAATAGGTGGAGTACCAGCACTAAATTTGGTGTCAGACGTTGGTTCTTCAGGGTTGTAGAGATCATTTCTTATTTCATACGAGACACTTGCTGATGGCCACATGCTGGCACTGGGCATAATGTCAGGTTTATTTTGGCTAGAGAAAGTAGATGGATTTTCCCACTGATTACTTGTTTCTGTTTCGTGTATCACAGGACCTGCCTCTCCTTTTTGATTTATAATCTGATGAGAATTATGCAGATCACTAGCAAAAGTCAAAGGCTGTGCAACAGTTGTATGCTGGCTGTTGGAAGTGGCTCCATAAAGCTCTTTCTGAAATCCTGGTTGGTTGTCATGTTTACCAAATGGACCACCGTATGTTCCTCCTCCAGAAGATGTTGGAACTGAATGAGACCCACTGGTTGCAAATCCATGCTGGCCACCTTGTTCAGCATCAGAAGCAAATACATGTTTACCATAGTCATAAAATCCACCTGTAGCAGAGGAGACACTAGGCTTATTTAGACCCATAATTACAGCCTGTTGTCCAGCTGTCTGAGAGATTGCACCTCCAAAGGGGTTTATGACCATTGTATTTGGATTCTGACTTTGAAGATTACTTACAGGTCCCAAGGCTCCACTTGGTGCTGCCAAACTATGGTTCTGTGCTGGAAAATGTATTATACCAGGTGGAAATCTAGTACTGTTAATACCAGCCCCTCCAGCATGTCCCTGAGGGGTATTAAACATTGAAGGGTGTCTTAATTGGTTGAACAGTGGCTGAGACATGGCCACTTTGGAGAGAACTTGATTCAAGACTGTTGCAGCTGCTGTGTTGTTGGTGACTGCTGTCTGAGCCAATTTTAGCCTATGTAGGGTAAGCTGGGCTTGTAGCTGAGCAAGCTGAAGACCCGCAGGAGAAGGAAGCAGTGGATTCGGGGTGCTGACAGTGAATATGTTCTTGTCCAGAAGTTTGGCAGCACTGCAAAATAACAAACAACAGTTTTAGTTTAAATAAATATTTAGCAGAAGACTGTCGTCAGCAAATCATGATCAAGTAAATTGCTATCCTTGATACCTATCCTTCATAAGCATCTGGAAGGAAGGAAAATGATTTATGGCATACCACTAACCCAGCTCATCCTCTAATGTGTATGGAATTACATTAATTTCAGTCATGATGCAAAGGCAGATCAGTGTCTTAACTATTAAAAAGAGGGTTTATATTCATTTGGGATCCAAGCCAGAAATATATCTGAAGGTCACTGAAAGGACTTAATTGAATCTGGTGAATCCAGTTAATTTTGTTTCAAGCCTTTTAAACAAATTAGCTTCTTATCAAATAAACTAGTGAAAACAAGGTAATAAGTAAAAGCAATGTTTCAACTAAGGTTTCAATGTTTCAACTAAGGTCATCATTATCTTTTTTTGTACAAAATCAGCATATTTTGTACAAGTAAACATATGGTCATCAGCAAAATCAAAATATTAGTAGGCAAGATAAATTTAAAGAAGTGTAGATTATGACCAATACCTTTTTACTAGCCTTAACAAGAAAGTAAGCCCACCAAATCAACTTTTGAATAGTAAACATGTAAACTAAAATGAATCAAATGGGAGCACTTAGTTGCAAGCAGCAACAAAATATAGGTCCATACAGCTATGACAGAATTAGCAGTAATATAAAACGTTCCACTTTGTACAATGCTGCTCTATGAACAAGCACATCTGGGGGCATAATCACTACTTTTCACAAAAGGTCTAGTGAGTTCTCTAGTACAAAAACAGAGAGATCAAAGTTACTGCCAGTGGGAGACTAACTGAAATAGGGTATTGGCAAACCAGGGTGCAATATATCCAGCCTTGAATCTACCTTGCGTCCTTACAAAACCAGACAAAACTAACTTGAAGAATTGTGTCTGTTTTGTACAATGAGGTGAGGACTACATTGCATATAATACAAGAATTGCTGTGGGATTGTTTTGGTTAGATGCACATTGATTTCTGTTGACTACAAGACATATAAGTCCATATGAATCAGCCCAGATGTTTTTCCACAATCCATACTTTTTTCCACCACTACTGAGGCTTCTACCCTTTTGCAACGAAATGCATTTGCATCAGTTCAGGCATTGTAATCACTTGTGCTGATGTAGAAAAGCAATAGGTGCATGTGTAGGCTTGGTATATGAGGCTTAGAGATAACTTGCTTGCTCAGATCACCTAATGAGATTTTTAGCTGAATTTGTAGAATTGCTGGCATGTTGGCTGAAGATATCCTGTCAAGAGCAAAACAATTCAGACTACCAATCAGGCTCTGACACAAAACATGGGCACACTGACTCACTCTTTTTTTATTTTGACTTCTGTCCCAAGTAAATGTCTATAACTAATCTCATTAATTACAATGAGACTTGCTTCCCTGCAAGTGACTTAATAAAAGCTTATATAAGTCTCCTAAAATGAGAACTGCTTCTTCTTGAGGCATCTAACAGGAATTTAAAGCCATTTTTGTCCAACTTAAACTCATAAAATAATTGAGGGGCCTATAAGGCGAGGGAGTCCAACCGCCTGTTCAATGCAGGAATCCACGTCTGAGCAGATCTGACAGGTGGTTGTCCAATTTTTTTCCTGAATGTCTCCAGCGTTGGAGTGCTTACCACCTCTTGAGGTGATTAGTTCCATTGTCGTACTGCTCTAACAGTTAAGACATTTTTCCTGATATTCAGCCTAAATCTGGTTTCTTATATCTTAAGCCCATTTTTACATGTCCAGCAGTCTGGGATGATCAAGAACAGATCCCACCCCTCCTCTGCATGACCACCTTTCAGGTATTTGAAAAGTGCTATCATATCTCCCCTCAGTCTTCTTTTCTCAAAGCTAAGCATGCTCAGATTCTTCAGTCTTTCCTCAAAGGGCTTGCTTTCCAGTCCCCTAATAATCATTCTTTGTTTACTTATTTATTTATTTACAAGATTTTTTTTAACCATGCCATTATCAATGGTCTCTGAGCTGTGAAGACATGAAAGTGCTTAGATTTACAACATTCAAACCACCACTATGTACCAAATTGTAATGTGCTAAATACGTGATATAACTGGAAATCCCAAGCTCACTATTGTTCCTAGCAGAGAATTAGGCACACTCATGCCTAACTATATATTTATGAAAGATAGACTGTATGGCTAGCATCTGGAATGCTGCATTTTCTTTTCTGCTATGTGAATATCACAATTCCAACTACTGTTCCAATCTTTATCCACAGTCAACTAGCAATGATAAATGTTCCTCAAGACCACAACTCAAAGAATGAATATCAATTAATGATTTTGGTTTAAAATGAAGTACAGATTATCTTTTCAGTCCTGTGACCTGAGAAGAGTAAATAACTTTCGAACACTAATTTAACAAGGTAAAAAAAAGCATACATTAGTAGATACAACTCAAAATGATTCAGCAGCTGCAGTGACTCTGTAAAACATCCAAGTATCTGTTAGATATATGGAATGGTTACAGAACAGCTATAGTAACAGAACAGTAAAATCATTCATCTCTTCTCCATGCTATCATACTAAATATTAAATGAACTAAGGGTTTTCCGCATCATAAAAAATAAAGCACTTAGTCCAAGAGAGCTGTCGTATCCTTAAGGACATTGTTTTTAGAATACAAACATCTGTTACAAGGACAATATGAACAATCCAGCTGCAAGAGACATTAAGAAAAGCTTGTGTTGAAAAAAGCAACACTCAGTTTTCTTAGGAGCACAAAAATAGTTTCCCTATGTGTCAATTTTTGGATTTGTTTTATGTAGCACCACTCAATCTGTCAGCAGGTGTGACTAATAAACCAATATACAGTATAATACCTGCTTCAAATAGAACTTTTAGCAGACATATACTAGAATCCTACTCATGTTCACATAAATTCTGTGTCACTTGCCATAGCTAGCTGTAGTTGCCAGCACGCATCTCAGCTATGCAACTGGGTGCATGATCAGGCATTCATCCAAGATGTGCCCTGGCACCTGGTCAATTAGCTACAGCATATTACAAAAAATGAACATGAACACCAATAGAAATCTGACAACAAATATTAAATTTATGCTTAAACATACGCTAATTTGAGAGTAATGGAATAGTTAATCTCTGTTGCAACATCCTTTCTATCTACAATTTATTTTGCCCCTTCCTTTCTGGTCATTTGCTGCAGCCTTCAGCCTTTAAAGGCTGCACTTTTATTACTTGCCTAACATAACCATATACAATCCTTTAAATGTTTCACTTTGGCCCTTTGTTATGTGGATTATCTTTAAACTTTTATTTCTGGTTTTTACTGTCTTCATACTTCTGCATGTTTTATTTAAATAAAAAACCCACCTTAAATACATAAGTAAAAGCAAAATTCAAATGTTGTAAGTAAATAAATCAATAAATAAAACTTAAAAATCCACCGTATCACCTCATTCAGTGAAATCTAACCCACTCACATCTCTATATTAATGAAATTAATATGTATCTAAGCATTCAAAAGTACTACTGACATCATTCTTAGCAAACAAGTTTTTTAAATGGCAATAAATAGCAAGTTCTCATATAACTCACAGTAGAGAACTAAATCATTCTCTCAAAGCAGGATATGGGATATCCTGGACAAAGCTATTTATTAAGCCCCACAGTTTTCAGTGGGTCTATTTTAAGATTCACTGACTATGAATTGTGCACTCTCCCATCTTCTCATGCAATCGCCTACATATTTATCCATACTAAAAACTGCCCAGTTTTTAGCAGTTCAATTACTGTATGTCAATTCCACTTCTCTCAGAAAATAAAGACATAAGAACTAAACTAACTCAAAGCCAAGTCCAAAAACCTTGGCCAACCAGTTTTTAGGAATCAAGTAGGATAAAGGTATGAAACAGCATACTCCCACAAAAGTACCTGAGGATTATTACAATTTCTCAAAGATTAAAAATATAAAATATCTGTGGAAGATGGGAGAGATTATTATACATCCACAGTGCTCATAGAAGGGGATTTGATCCATTTCCCTTGAATACTTTTCATGATGCCTCCCAGCTACTATTTACAAAATGTGTGAAAATGATGATATTACTCTTATCAGAGACTGAGATCTGTTTTAGACATTTTGAAGTTTCACTTTTGGCAAGGTCACATAGATATATTGAAAAACAGGTTTGCAGCTTTCACTTTTGGCAAGGTCACATAGATACAGTGGTGCCTTGCATAGCGAGGTTAATCCGTTCCGGATTAACCTTCGCTATGCTGAAGCATCGTTGAACGGGGCAGGGATTTCAATTGGAATGCATTAAACATGGTTTAATGCGTTCCAAATGAGCCAAATACTCACCGTTCAACGAAGCTTTCTAATGGCCGGCAGCCATTTTCGCGCCCTCGCCTCGCTTAACGAGGGCGCGAAAACGCTGCGCGCGGCCATTTTAGGCCATTTCCCGGCTTCCGGTGGCCATTTTGGCCGCCGAACAGCTGATCGGCGGGGGTCGTTTTGCGAAGATCGGTAAGCGAAACGCTTACTGGTCTTCACAAAGCGAATTTTTCCCTATAGGAAAAACGTTGTGCAATCGCATTAGCGATCCGAAAAAACGGATCGCTATGCGATTTAATCGTTATACGGTGCACTCGTTAAGCGAGGCACCACTGTATATTGAAAAACAGGTTTGCAGCTATCCAGCTTCACCTAGCCAATTCAACTACAGTACAGACTAGGAATAGGGAAAGTTTGAACTAAAGATAATACACAAGCTAGCTAAAACAACTGCTAAACTAGAAGCATATTATTTATACCCTAAAAATTTCAAAATCAATTTTAACATTTTGGTTTTGTGGGTCAGGTAGAGCAGTATTGACTACACATATGGAGAAAAAGACATTCAGTGCCATGGGGATGGGAAAGTATGCATGTCTGTTTGTGTCAAGAAAGAGAAACATGAATGGTAGCATTTTC